ACAATACTTAGCGCATTGAAGTGGATGAAGAAAGAAGCTCGAGGCACATCTTGGCAATCTAAAGCTAAGAAAATTGCACTTGCTTGGAAAGTCCCGAATTTGGATGGCACACAATAGTATGATTTTTTGAGGATCTTAAACCGTGTATCGATAGCATAGTGAGACGAATTAAATTATATGTATACAAAGTCATGTTCTCTTTGTATCATAATGTCTTGATTCATTTTGAATCTCTAGCGTTGTGTCAATATATCTTTGTCGTTTGTATATCTTTTGATTTTTGTTTTGTCAGGGAATGTCCGGTATAATTGTACATGAGTTTTAATCAATAGAATTTACTTTTACCTATAAAAAAATAAAAAATGAAGGGTATATTCCTCGTGTTCGTTTAATCTTATGTGATTTAATGGCAAAGCTTTCTGTGAGCATGGTTTATAATTGAAACTATATTTAATTTTAATAGTGCAAGAATGTGATTGCATACCGAAATAAGGTTAATTTTGTGTTAATTAAGGTATTATACTTTTAACTTGTCTTAGTTTTGGTAATATAGTGATTCTTAGTCCTTCGCCCATTGGTCAGTTTTAAGCCTAATATTGAAGGTTTAAAAAAAAAACTTGCCAACAGATTCATGCTTTCAGAAAGTTTCACCATTCTGCCTCCAAACGATGGTTCCACCGAGATATATTTATCGCTGGTTGGACATGTCAAATTGGATAATATTAAGGATAGTTTGATTGCAAATGTGGAATTTGAGTGAAAATAAAATGTTCTACTGGGAATTGAATTACTTAGAATTTGTTTTATGAAAAATTGTAATTAATTGTGGTGTGATTGGTATAATTTTTTACCTGAAAAATGTTGAAAGTTTTGTGTCTGTTTGACTTTGTTTTTTATGAAAATTATCCATTAAAATGATAATTTATTTTATTATTGGGTCTAGCATTTGTTTCAATTGTCAAAAAAAATAAACATCATATCAAATATCATTCGTTTGCCTTTGTTTTGTATAAAAATTGTCAATAAAAGTGATAATTCTTTTTAATATTGTGTATATTTTTTCAATTGCCAAAAATTTAAAAAAAAAAACTGAAAAATCAAAACTAACCAAAATAACAAGAAATCTTTTTCCTTCAAAAGCTGAAAAGTAGACGCGTGGGTGGAATTAGTAGAAAAAAATTTCTAGAGAATTTTTGTTGTCAAATGATGCAAAACTTGAAAAATGAAAAATTTCCATTTTCCATGGAAAATGTTGCCCATCATAAATGATTAAGAGGTCAAAAATAAATATTGTGCATACCAAATATATCATTACATCAAGGAAACAGAAGCAGGTTTAGTACGCTTAAATAGATTAACCTATTCCAAGGTAATTAAGATAGCACAGGCACAGCTCATTAATTTACAGTTACAACTCCATTAGTTGTAGTTTTAAGTTGACGCAATCTTTATGAACGTGGCACGGAGATTTTCTGCCCGACTAACTCGATTTCCTTCATCCTTACATCTACTAGTTGCCTCAGCTGCTCCTCTAGGTTGCCTTGATTTTCATCCTTCTCAATGGCAGTAGCTTCATCCCCGTTGGATTTGAACATTGCAAACGACATTTCTTGATCAAACTCTGTTTTTATATCAATTATACGCTTCCCGGCTCCTTCAGATTCTTTCCCAATGACATCGGCCTTTATACGATTCGAAACAATAATTCTGTAATTCTCCATGTACTTGTCGATCGGATCTAAACTGAGGTAGATGAGAATCTCCCAACACTGTAGAAACTGTTTCTTGTTGATTTTCAAAGTTTTCCTTGCATCTTCAATGACGCTAGTAGGAGGTCCAAACTGAATAGGTTGGCTTTTCTTTGAGAGATTTTCGTGCTTTAATTTTGAAACAACCGCATTAAGTGCATGCTGGATTGGTTCGAATGAAAGCAGACGCTCTACATCAATGCAAGTTCGGACGTGTTGAAGGGAATCCACTGGTTCTTCAACGGTTAGGTCATAAACATTTTCCGATATTGCAACATTGTTGAGAACTTCAAGAAGATGGCGACCATATCCCTTTCTTTGAAAATTAGGTATAACCAATATCTGAAAACACCAAACACATTTTCTCAGCTTTCAAAATGAAAAATGATGATGACGTAAGTCAATCTGCATAAAAACTAATAGTTCCTAGTTCTAAAGTTTGGGCACACAGACTGGAGCAAACCTGACCAAGACGCAAACGCTTGCCATCAGGGTATCGGTGGAAACGATAAACAGCAGCAAAACCAATCAACCCAAAACGACTGTCTTCTTGATCTTTTCGGACTAATAAATAGATTTCCCATCTTGGATCAGTCACATCTATAGGATTGCTACCTGTGTCAACAGTACCACCACTAGTTGAGAATGATTTTGATCTAGTTCGTGACCTATTTGAAGTAAAACTCAAGCAGCACTACGGTTAGCAGATTTATTTATACGACACCAGAAAAATGCAAACTAGTCTTTCATAAAGCAAATCAAGCTCAAGAGTTACCGTCTATGAGAAGAAGGACAAGTGGCACCAGTCTGCTGTAAAGATGTCCAACTGGCATACCAACAACCTGGAGAACCTGCACCAATGCAACAAAATTACATCAATCATGAAACTCAAATGCAGACATGTAAATGATAAATGCACATGTACGAGATAAAGTTTCTTTCTCTGCAGAATCATAAATTTTTTTAGTAAACAGAAAATTCTCAACCTCAAACCACCCTTCTCTGCAGGAAACAAAGGAAATGCAACTGAAGAAGCTTGCTAGAAATTCTTTCCAAGAAATTGAAGATAAACAATAAGTGGAATTTCTCAACCTTAATCATTATCAATTCCTTCAGGAGAAAAAAAGAAATAAAATGATAACTACTAGCATTTCTAAACATGATCACATCTTCTTGCCGCGAAATATACCTTCAAAACCTAATGAATGGTTCAACTTTTTTGGGTTCTGCAGGCAAGAAACAAAACGGAGGAATTCTCCAACCAAAAGGCCTTCTTGATAGGGATATGTAATGTAAGCAATTTATAAATTTACTTCAAAGTCAAACTGCAAGTACATCTCCATTTGCAACTGATGATTCAATAATCAGATGTTAGGAAATCACTAATAATCTCATTAAAGAAAAGTATTGCAATATGAAGTCTGGTGTTTCATGATCAGTAACTTGAACTAGCAAATTGGAATTGCTACATAGTAGTTTGGAGATCCCCAAACTTATATGGGGATTTGGAGAGGAGAGAACAGTTTTAGGCAGCAAGATAAAAAGACAAAGAAGTCAATATGGTATTGGATATATAAAATATCGATGCAAAACAAACACATGGCTCAAAAGTCACCTCCAAATCGGCAGGTTCTGCCTTGGGAAGACTAGAGTCACCAGTGCTACCATTGGAAGCATTCTTCTGCAATTCTTTTGCACCTGAGGCAATAGATCTGCACAATTGCCAATTTTGAAAATAGAAAATCCCAGTGTCAATAATCATGAGCAGCAGGCCAGTAGCATACTGTGAACACTAAAATAGAAATGGAAGTCACAGATTCAACATACTTAACAAAATCACGTTCAGTAGAAAATGTTTGAAGAAAGTCTTCTTTCTTCTCCACAAGATTCTCAGCAAAAATATTCTGTTGGACACAAAGTATTTGTTATGTTAATATACATCATGTTCACAGTGAATATCAAGTGGATTGTGAAATTATGTGTGATCAAAATTACCTGAAGAGAAGATTTCAGATCTGTTATACCCTTGCCTCCCTACAACAAATAAATGAAGAAATCAATAAATTAATATGATTGCCCATGAAATTGAAACCAAATGATTCTTGTCCAGCAAGAATTCTAGTGGATAGGAACATATTCTGGATCAAAATCATGGAGAATACTTCTTAATCGTTTCTACCTACTTAAAGCCCCAATTTGAATTCCTCTTAGTTACAAAAATAACATGTTGGATAATTTACAAAATCTCCATCACTAATCCTTAGCGTATCTTGGTCTTCCTAACCATTGATGTTGGTTTGAGATGTTGACACGTGCCTTAACAACTACAGATGTTCTTGGATCATATACTTCGCCAGATGAATGGGAAAATTTGTTAAAAATATCGCCCTCTAAAGTTCTGTTGATATATCTTGCCAACATGAGAACAACTCACTTGGAACCCATTCATTTCCAATATGTAGGAAAATCGAGATAGAAAAAATCCGAAAATGTATTTGAAGTATGCCTTAACTAGATTTTCACCTATATTATTACAGTCTTTTCCATGATTTTCAATTAAAACAAAGAGGCTTTAGAGAGAAATGAGAGAGATTGAGGAATAGCAACAGAATAATTTCATGTCTAAACATTATCTGGTAGAATCATTTTGATTATTCTAAATCTCAACATATTTCTGAATGTGATGGAAATTCTACAAAGTTGACTATGCATAATATCTTTTGTTTCGTGATTTTAATGTAGATAACCTTCTCACAGTGTCATTAGTAGAATGTGAAGACTTACATCTGATGTGCTCTCAAAAGAAATATCAACATACGCAAGGAACGATATGCTGCTGACCCAAATGGTGATCTGCATCAATCAAGATATAGAAAGATTCAATGAGTAGTGAAGCAAAAAACTAGCATTACTGAAAAAATAAAATCTGAGAAACCCCAAATGCCACGTACAACAATAGTAAAAATACAAATGGAATTGAGTTCCCTCGTTCCACCATAGAATTCATCCTGCGAATTATCCCAATACATTGGACTGATGGACTCACTGAGTGCATAAAAGGGCCATGCAAAATGTGATAATCCCCACCAAATAAGGAAGAAAAGGAATGGAAAACGGATATATTGTCACTTGAAAAGGTCCATATAGGTCCTCAAAACTATATACTGTCTTGTTCAACACAGTGCCCACTTGTTCATTTCCCTTTCTTGTCATGTTCTTCTCAGCAAATAGCAACATTTTTAAGAAATGGAGAAACGGGATCCAAATACCACAACTGCATATACCAGACACATTCTATGATGATCTCTCTCCCTCTCTGTGTGTGTCAGATTAATTTCCACTAATGCGTGAGCTAAGGATCCTAGCAATGAAAGTATGCATCTAGAAGCCAGATGACAAGAACTATAAATGTGAAGAAACGTGAGGATAAGACATAATTTTTTTTCATCTATTTACATTATCAAACAAAATGAGGAACCAACTTCATAGCAACATTCAGGCAGATACTTCAGACAAAGAAAATGCATAAATCAGTCTAAAGTACTTAAAACTTTACCGTCAGACCCTTGTAACCATATATCTTTCCATCTTCTCCAAAGAAGTGGTTCAAGTCAACTGGTTCAATTAGGAAACTGTCTGGAGAACCCACTTCCTCTTTGGTAGACACTATATGGATCGATATATAAACAAATAAGCAAAAGAAACCTCACAATAATAAAATAAATAACCACAAAATATCAAATGTTCTACATCTAAGCTAGACATTTTCGACCCAAATTTTTTTCTCCATTAGCAAATTAAACCAGAAATGTTGCATAGTAAGGAAAAAAATTACCCAAATAAATCTTAATACACTCATTAGGTGTGACTCCAGCGTCTGCACATAAAAAAATTAAACAATAAATGAGTAAATTAATTGAAGCTACATATCAAGGAAAAGAAAAATAAAACTAAAAAATAAAAAACCGTAGGTGATTGGCTTACCGATTTTGGAGAAGCCAACGCGGCGTCGTTTCTTGGGGTCGGAGACTGGATCGGCTACGGAGTGGTTCTTCGTTCCCATTTTCGGAATTAGGGTTTCGTTGGTGAAGCGGGAAATGCTGGAGAAGCGGGAAATGAAGTGTGAAAAGTGAGGAGCGAGTGAATTTATTGACACTCCTAGTCAAATTGTAGGAAAGTGAATCGGGTCGGGTACTTTGGAGTGGGCCATGCAAGGTGAGGTTGTTACAGGGTCGATGAGCCCAATGGTTTATTAACTCAGCCCTGCTATGAGTACATGCTATGAGTACAGGAAATAGTCACAGAAATCACAAAGGAATTTGAATTGGAGGGAAGGGATTCAATCAAGTGAGGAGGGAAAACTCGGATTGAGGGATAAGATTCACAAATTTCAAATTTCTGTAAAAAATATGTCAATAATTTCTGTACTTAATGAATTTTTCTTATTAACTACTTGTTCTCCCCGTTTCTGTAAAGAAAAATTGCAGCAGCGGTCCCTAATCATTTCATTTTTTGTAGATTTTACCTCAATCTTCACTTTGTACCACCACAGGTTCCAAACCTTTTAAAAATATGCAACAGAGGTCCAAATGGATGGAACCGTTAATTGACCAAATGAGTTGATTTTAACCAAATTTAAAATGAGTAAAATGGTGATTTTGTTATTTATTATATTAAATAAACAAACAAAAAATTTAAAAAAAAATGTTCATTCTTTCTCTGGTTCACCCCACCCACCATTGCCACCACCAGTCACTCTACTTCGGCCAACCACCACCCAAACCACCAAACAATAATACCATTAGAAAGCTCTCACCCTCTACTCAAACTACCCAACATCGAGCATCAACTCTTCCTGGGTTGGCGGATTTACACCTCAAAACCACCTACTCGCGTTCATAAATATTGGTGGCACAGCCTCATCCGGTGATACCCACAAATTACCCATGTCACAGGTGGATTCTAGTAGTTGGGGCGCCCCTATCCTAGTTCTTGCTCACCACTGTGCTTCCAATTTTCATAATTTGATGAATTCGGCCATCTTCACAGAAAAGAGGCAAGTCTTAAAGAACGTACAAATTTGATGGCCATCCAAATTTGAGGAAGTGCATCCAGTTGCTAGGTTCATTCCTATTGAAAATTGTTGTTTGAGATGGTAGCATTTTGCGGCGGCCACAATGGCGATGAGCAACAAGATTTTGGTGTTGGGGAAGGGTGGGAGTGGGAGTGGGAGTGGGAGTGCGTGGGGTGTTTGAAGAAGATGGTGATTTTTTTTCTTTTATTTATTGTTTTTAAAGGAAAATTACTATATGGAGGGAAATGTCGCTCCTTAAAATGATCAAAATATCCCATTTTTTAATTTTTCAGGTTGACTAACGATCAAATCCGTCCAATTGGACCCCCCCGCTGCATATTTTTGAAAGTTTTGAGACGTATAAAGTAAAGATTGAGGTAAAGTCTGCAAAAAACGAAAATGTTTGAAACCGCGGCTGCAATTTTCCCTTTCTATAAATAATCTACTATGACTAATTCCATGTTTGATGGCAATGAGAAAAAAAAAAGATATTTTGAATAGTTATTTTTTATAAATAATTTGTGATTAAAAAGTAGTGAAAGTTTTGTATTTACATGTAAAATATTTTTATTTTATGAATGTATGATTAAAAATAAGTATGAGAATTAAAAAATTATGTTTTAAAAGAAGACAAATACTTTCATTCGATAAGTGAGATTTTTGGTTGGTCAAAAGCACGAAAGTGGAATCACTCAAGAGTGTTCCATTAGTCTCGCTAGACGTTGAAGATTTTTTTTGGCCTTTTGTAAAAATTGATAAAAATTATTAATTCCATAAACTATGGAGTTAAATATTTTGTTTAGCCATTGAACTTATATCCTCGTCACGCTTTCCTCCTTGAACTTTAAAATATTTTGAAATGATTATTGAACTTTAACATATTGCATTCGATTACTCAATAACCATGTTTCATTAGTTGTTAAACTTTTAAAATACTTTCCAGTAACCTTTAAAATTTAATATGTTGCACTTCATCACTCACACACCATATTTTAGTAGTCGCTTAATTTATACTACTGTCATACTTTACTCACTAAACTTTAAAATACTTTCGAGTGGTTATTGAATTTTACACAAATCAAATTATTTAGAAATTGAAAATTTTAAAGTACCATGCACATAGACGACGTCATTCTTTCCTCTTGAATTATCATGTGACAATTTTAAAACTTATTTTGTTAGTCTTAATTAACATTATTGGCTCTAAATCGGATATTTCACTGCCTGTTTGAGAGCAATTTTTTATTTTTTAACTTGGACACAAGATCTTAATCGAAATAAAAATAATAATTTATCTATTTTATTTTCTCAGTGTAGAGAAAGACCATAATCTAAATTAAGATTTATGTCAATTTGAAATTATCATTCTTTATTCCCCTTAAAAATAGCTTTTGACTATTAGAGAAATTATGCCCATGTTTGACACACATTCTGTTTGAAAAATAATTTATGGAATAGTGATTGATAGAAGATTGTGTGGTTCAAAATTAAGGAGAATTTTTGAGTTTATGTGTAATATTAAAAATGTGTGGTTGAAATGAAGAAAGAGAAATAGAATGAAAAAAAAAAGGGGGTGACAAACAGGGCCTATATCTTATTGACCAATATCCATCTTACATTGAGAGTCTAATTATCTTTTTCGATGTTTGTTTTAATTTATTATTTTGATTTAGTTCGAATTTCATAGAAAATCAACCTTAGTTTGAAAACATCTTAAACTTCAATAAATAAAACCTGAGGAAGGTATAAGTTGGAGCGGATCGATTTGGGGCTTTCTGGGGAACATTTTCAAATTAGTCGGGTTAAATGACCCATTTGGATTTTTAATAGAAAAGTCTACTTTGCCCTTAATGAAATGAGTTTTTATTGCAAATCATGTCCTCAAGCTCTATAATAATTTTCAGAAACTTATTTTATTCTATTTTTATTCGTCCTCACTAAATATTTCTTCTAAATTTGATTTTTCTTCATTAATTTCTATTTCTTCAATATTAACTTCTTCACATTCATCTCTAATTTGTTCAAAGTCCGTAATTAATATCCTAACTTTCTTTTTTGGACATTCAGTGCTTATATGTCCTTCTTCATTACAATTCCAACATTTACATCGTTTTTTATCTAATGG